CTAAATGTACTCTAGTCTGCTGTGATGACATCAAACATTGTAACATGATAATTAATAGCAATACCAGCTCTATTATTGTTACTGGACATAATCTGTAATAACTAATCCTTACAGCATGTGATGTCTGCCATGAAATGTTTATAACATGGTTATGTCAATATTCTGTGGCAGGGATCAGTGAAAGTGTTACTGTTATTTGTTAGGTTATGTAGTATTCTGTAGTCTAGCATTGCTTCCCTGAACTTCATCAGTTTGACATTGAATTCTTGTTATCATCGATCACTCTTCCCTCACTACATGCACTACACAAATACATGACACAGCCATTTGGAATTCCTACATCGCTTAACATATTCTGATTGCTAGACACTGATCTACAGACTAATAAATACATCTGTGGTGCTAATTAGCATTAGCTGATAGAGCACAACTAGTCATCAAACATTTTTCTTTGTTAAAGGAACAATTCAGGTGAAGATTCAACTAGCAGAAAAAACATATCCACCTCAAAGCCTTTGTATTCTTCCACCTTCAAGATACACGATCCACTATATTTTTTAAACCAGGAAATCTCACTTTAGAGACTACGGTGGCACTGCTGTATGATGTGAATAGGCATGTTTGCAACACATGTATGGTGGTTACATTTTTTACTTTGTTTAGAGCGTCTCTTTAAGTCAAATGTGGCTCCTGTATAGCATCGTTCCAAATAACCTTAATTAACACCTTTATTTTTACGGATGTAATGTAAATTACTATATTTTTACATTTAGCCCTGTTAATTTTAGGTATGTTTATTTAACATTGTTTCATGCACTAGCTCAGCCCATTTTGCTTTACAGCTGGCATGCATGTGGCTTGCTTCAGGGTGCAATGTCAGCTTTTGGAGAGTCTAAATCTCTTGGTGCCTTGCCATTGGATTACACTTGTTTTGAGCATGGAGCGCCTAACCACTGAGCCACATCTGATCAGAACGGATGGCTACCTGAATCGCCAACAGTTGACCACACCCGTATTTCCTAGATGTGCTGAAATATTCAAAGTACTTTACAAAGAGAAAGCTTTTAGCTTCTGGGAAGACACCCAAAAATGCAATGCTGCAATCTTGTTGCAATGTTACATTTTAGAGGTGCACATGGCTTTGCAGTTTTAATGCGGCTTCACTGTATTAAGAGCACAGTTTAAGTTTCAGGAAAACAGTACATGTCTTACAACACACTGCAGGAGACAGATGGGACAGTGCGCTGTGTCTTAACCTATTTTTCTGCCAGCAATATGCTGTTCTTGTATGATGACAAATGGCACTCGTGGTGGACGGACAAGGCACTCAACCTGCTGTGCTTGCTGCTTTTACGCCTGGAGGGGATCCAGAGAAGGACAGGCTCTCCCTCATCCAGAGTGTATGCACATGCCTGGGCTGTACTCACATATACGCTCTTAAAATAATGGCTGGTCTTGCCTTGGATGTACACTTCTAGGAAAAACCTCTGGTCTAGAACTGTTACATTATGTGGAGGTTCTTTAAACAGTAAAAAGGTTCTTTGCACTAGGATGTCTGATTTACAAAAACCCATTGCAAACAAAAGTGGTTCTTCTATGGCACTGCCTCCTTTTTGGCACCTTCACTTTTAAGTGTATACTGGCTGCATGAAAGGCACAAAGAGTGCACAATGCTGCCTTTCCCTGTTAGATAGATAGCTCTACTAATGAGAGATGATGTAAGGACACAGTAAGGTCAGCTTGATGCACTGACCATTAGCCCTTCACCCTTGCCACTCACTGCAAAATGCCTCATAAGACCAACTCTACATGTGCCCTGGACAGCCAGAGGGCCTGGCATAGATTGGTCACACAGTGGCTGGTGGGGTTGAGCCTTATTGCATCAGACTGGCCAATAACAGCTATGACTGCTTGTGTTTGAAGCCCAGTCCAGCAGTTGCTGTAGCAATTACAAATGTAATATGGAGGTAAAGAGTTCATTTTGCCCGCCCAGCTGTGCTCTGCTAGCAGCTGCAGCACACTGCAGCTCTCTCATATGAGGCATTGGCTTTATCTATGGGTAAATTTACTTGTATTATTCTGATTTAAATGAACAGCTCAGTTATATTAATAATAAAAATACATTATTTTATTTGTCCCTTGCTAATGTAGTAAAACATCAATTAAAACATATTTTTACTGAGACCGCAAGAAAGATTTTGTGTGTACTTTGGTCTGTTTTTAGATAATAGTATGTCATAAAGCATCAGAAACCACATTTACTTCAGAATAGATAACTCAAATTGGTTTGTGGCAAGTATGGGATGATTTAGGGATGCATAGTGCTAATGGGTGGCTATAAGCATCCAATGTATGCATCTGTGCAAAACTAAAGAAGCAACATTCATAAACAGGTCTTGGCTACATTTGAAGTAAAGAGTACATTTTGTAAATGTAATTGTTTGCCAAACTTTCTCAAAGGTCAGCCACTTTTAGGGACACTAACCTACCAGTAATGTCTAGAAAGAATCACTTTTTTTTGACTGAATCTTCCATGCAGTCTTGTTTGCATGAGTGTCTTGTCACATTACAAATGAAGTTGATGAAGTTGTCTTGTGTATAAAAAGGCAGGAAGCTGTTAGCAAGAAGTAATGCTCATCTCTGAGGGCCACTCATGGTCACACCAGTACATAATTCAGGGCAATGCATAATATGATAACTTAACTTAGCGCAACATAAATTATTGCTTTCCTATTCAATTATAGACAGGATGGCATTGCAAACAAAGCCACATAAAAGAAAGCAATCATGTGTGTGTGTGTGACAGACATAATGTAGTCACAACAGAGATTCTACAATGTTATCTCAAACTACAAGCTACTGTTATGGTTGTGTTTACTATAGATAGACACCTAAATAGCTAAAAATCTCACTGTGTGCATTGGACGTTAATGTACTTGGCCACAATGTTGCTGCTCTCATATTGTGCTGTAAAACAAATGCTTGTCTAAGGGTTCAAAGTAAACATATCCCAAAAAAATGCAGATCTCAGAAAAATGTTGAGGTTTACTGTGTTTTCCTACAACAGTACCCAGTTTATGGGTTGCATAAATATCAATATAAAAGTTGCATATCATGATTAGTGTAACCTAATCTGTCTGATCCACTAAGGTTTTGGGTAAGGTTGGGTAAGGTCAGGTTTTGCGTAATGGAAGTAACATATACCTAATACATCTACTAAATGTAAGTAATGTATCAACAAAACATCTACAAGATATTTACTTCAATGTATTCAGATGCTTCACTACTGCTACTTCACTGATATGTTGTTGATGTGTTACTGACAATCTGTTAAGAGTTTATTAATAATCTACAAAGGACCACTCCAATTAAAGTGTTACCCTTCATAATATTCAGAGTTAAGTTTTAAGTTGAAATATTTACTGCAATTAGAACATCGTTATTGTCCAAAAAAATTCTCAATTATTTTTGATTTATATTTTTCTACATCATTTTAGTTCACCAGCTGTCCTTTACACTGTGTGAAAGATTCATATTGAACTGACCAGCAGAAATGCTCCAAAATTGCTTGGAATTAAAATATTTTACATTGACCCCATAACAAGCCATCACACATTTCTATAACCTAATAATAGCCCTATTATTTTACACTGAAGCCCCTGTAGTTACTGAATAATACATCCTTGTATGAAATAAACCTGGAATGTTAAGGGGTTAATTTATGTTAAATGCAAAGAAGGTTTTTGCTGTCTCCTGTAAAGCTGCCATTTTGGAGATGCTTACCTTTCTTTGGAAAATGATGACTTGCTACACGTTTGTCTTACAAGCTTTGGAGTCATTATTTAAGCACAGTTATCAGTAGTAAATCCAGTGTGAAAAAGTAAATGTATACTATAGCATAACAACTTAACATAGCATAATAACCCAAAGAGACACTATTAGCATCAATAAAAAAATAGCATCATGTGAAAAATAGCATTATTGTAGCAGTAGTAACCACATTTTCAAAAAAATAACAGTTACATTAAGAAAGATCTGATGCCATTCTCTGCAGGCAACAGAAGAAAAATGCATTTGATTCTGTCATGTATATTAAAGATTACTTTAACAATTGCCTAAAAAACAATGTAAGCTTGTAGCAAACACTTATTTCCAGGGTATGGGCCGCTGGAGTGGTGGCTTCTGTAGGGCACCCTCTTTTGGTGATCTAGGTCTGCATGGTTTTAAGACGGAAGACGGAACACATCATCCCTCAGTTAAAGGCATTTATATCTTTAATTCATGCCAACATTACCATATATACACTCTTTTCAATGTCCAGTAAACTATGAAAGGTGTAATTTTTTATTGAATGTTTGTTCCCTCATGTCATACAGGACATTTTTTTATCCTTATGGTTATGAATATGAGTATATTAACACACAATGGAAAGTTAATCAAGTGTATTGTTACAGGATAATTGTTGAAATATGGCCTCTAGTGTATATTTAATAAGATTTATAGGTCCAATTTCCCAGGATTAAACCTAGTCTAGGACTAAACTGAAGCATCAATGGCATCAATGGTGATTCATCATTGGATAGTCTTTTAAATTTAAGTTTAATCTTAGTCTGGGAAACTGACCCAAAATGTTCTGTGTTCACTTATTTAATATCTTCAGCTGAGGATCAGATGGACAGTGCAGGTAGACTACAGTGCTGGAGCTGATCTACATCATAATAGCCTTAACTATTAAAGCTGCACTGTAAAACCTCATTTACTATGAATATCATACAGATTAAAATTAAACACTAAACAACACCAAAGACAGATTTTAAAACGAATGTTCTTAATCTTGGAGCAATATTAAACAACCCCCAGTAAATTTGAAAAATTTTCCATGGCAAGCACGTAAAAGCCAGCTGTGTAGAGAGAGGGAGAGAGAGAGAGAGAGAGAGAGAGAGAGAGAGAGAGAGAGAGAAAGAGAGTCTGTCTTTCTTCACTCGGTGCTATTTTCCTCTCGTTGCGGTCTTTCAGTAGCTCTCTTCGCTGCTGGTTTAGTTATGGATCAGTAACGCTCTCTCTCTCTCTCTCTCTCTCTCTCTCTCTCTCTCTCTCTCTCTCGGTCTCTCTCTCTCTCTCTCTCTCTCTCAGAACTCAAACCGCACTCAGCCCAATGAGCTGCTGGGAATACAGCCTAATACAAACACCTCTTTACTTCCTCACTGGATGAAATTAAGCAGAATTCAGCAACATGGATCTTTCATTTATGGCTGCACAGGTAAGAAAAAAGCTACATGACTTTCTATTTTTTTTTCTTCACCAAAAAAGGGGAAAAAACAGTGCATTAAATCTCTGAGGAAATGAGCTGATAAGTTTAGTTTGAACAGGAAGTGAGGGTGTGGCTTTGCTTTTCTGAAGAAGAAGTGGTTGTGTTTTTATTTTCAGTTATTTCCAGTTTTCCTCCACTTCTGCAGTCCACAGCATTTTCCATATATCGCCTACAAAAACCGCTGGACTCACAAACTGTTGCTGTTACAAGTTGCCCGTACTGTTCCAGTAACAGTTCTTATTTCACATATTGCTGAGACTATTTTACATTTTACTCTTACATGTGATGTTGAAATGACTTTTTATCACTCTCAAGAAATTATGGATGTGTTTCCTAATTTAGATTTGGCTTAGTGATCACTAGGGATGCATGATAATATCAGAGTTATATGGGGCATCAGCAAATATATTTGCTTAAAAAAAATTGGCTTTTAAGTGATGTTCAGATTTGACTATGATTTCCAAATGACAAAATGATAACTGCAGAACATTTTGGTGACGTCACTGCAATAAAACATGCTGCATTTCATTCTCTTTCCTGCATTTATAACATTAAATAAATAAATAAATATTAGATTTCTTTGGAATGATAATCCAGGTAAATCTGTTTATAAATGTTTATCTATCGCAATATGGCAAAAAATACAGTGTTGCAATACCTCCAGAATCTCACAATGTCACAATTTTTTTCTGACACAAGTTGGTAAAGGAAAAAAGAACCAGTCATGCCAAAAATGCTATCAAATCTATTTAGTACAATAATATATTTATATACTGTGCTGTACCAAATCCAGTTAAACAGGAGTAAAGATGCTCTCTTTGAAACATGCAGTTGTTCAGTCTTCTACACTGTTAAAAAAGATGGTTATTTAGTAAAGACAATGGTTCTACCAAACCATGAACACTCAAAGAACCATTTCTATGCTTAAGGGGTTATTTGCATTGTGAAAGTGTTCTTCAGATTGATGGAAACAGTGTTGTACATGGTACTATATAGGGACTTTTTTACAGGGTTGTATAAAGCACAAGAAAGGGTTCTGCTTTTGTAAGCTTGTGTGTAGAAGTACACTCTTAAAAAAATGCTTTAACACTTCTTTGGTAAAAAATGGTTCTGTATAGAACCATGAATACTCAAAGAACCCTTTGCATGATTAATGAGTTCTTTGAAACATGAAAGGTTCTTCAGATTGATAGCGAATGTGCTGTATTTGGTTCTATATAGAACCTTTTTGAAAATGGTTGTATATAGCACTAAAACTAGCACAGGGTTGGATATAGCACTAAACACTAGCACTGAAAAATCCTTGCTTTTTGAAAGTCTCTCCTGGTGCTTCCTCTGAAAATGAGCTCTGTTATTCCTATTTTCAAAGTCGATTTAGGCTCAGAATGGTCTTGGCTATTTTGCAGATTTGTGTTTCCCATGGTCAAATATCTCAATAGTACTGAATTAACCATTCAAATAAATGAAGCAATTCTGCCTTGAATGGATATTTGAAACACACTGCTGGAAATCCTTTCTAATCGAAATGCATTGGGCGGCTGCCTAAATGTTCTCTCCTTTTTTCTCTTTCCTCCAAAAATGACTACATTCTTATTGGGCGCAGAACCAAAAAAGGCTTGTTTCCCCTCCGAATGAACAGACTTATTCAGGCTGCAGGTGCTGCTGTTATTGTTTAAGCTCTCTGATGAAGTCTGTTTGGAAGCACTGTCAGGTTGTGGATGAAACCATCCACTGTGTTGTTTTCCATTACAACCCAAACAGACATGGTTGTATTGCCACACCAGGCTAACATAAAGGTCAAATGGGATCTGTTTTATCAAGAGAAGATTTATTCACTTATGTTTAGTTGATCCTTTGGAGACATATTGCTGATACATCCTGCCCTGGTATGATGATTATTGCTTAAAGCTCTTTTTAGGAAACTGATTTGCACCCAGAGTTAACACATGACCGATTACAAAATGAAGAAGGCATACGCCATTAGCTGAGAGTATGAAATATTTCCCATATGCATGCTTGACATCAAGTGGCTTTGATATGAGTATAGCAGATATAGTATAGTATAATTAAACTGATGCAAGTATAATGTACTTCTTGTTGTATACCTAAATGTCATCACTGTCATGTGATGTTACAACTAAGCCATCAAACCATGAGAATAGTCCAAATCTTCTTTACATAAAGTCAATAAATTTTGTGGAACTTTCTGTTCACATACCCATCAAAAAACATACTCTAATTTATTTTTACGTGTCATTTTATGCATTCAGGTTAATCTGATTCAAAGTTAATTTGATTCTAATAGGATAGTCATAGTAAATGAACCCTGTCTATGGCATGAGTTATAACTTTCCCACTCATGCCATTCACTTTACCTTTTCATCTGTAGCCCTGCTCTCGCCAAATGCCCACAAAGCAACTAAGCAGTATGTGTCATATACTAGTTTGAATTATTGGGTTTGAGGCCTCAAAGGCACAACAGAGCTCACTGCTTCAGGTGCAGAAACATTAACCTAACAGGCTGTTTCAGTACAGTACACTTGTACAGCAACCTAATTCACCACAGCCTGAATTGCGTTTAAGAGCCCACCTCCGCTAAGTCTACTTTTGCTTCCACTATAACTCGCAGGTTGCAGAGCAATCCGTTAGAGATACAGTATCTCTTTCACAATCAATTACGATAAATCTTCTGGTAGAAAGATATATAAGAGAAAAGGCACCTAAAGGATGAGGGCATCATACTAATATAACAGCACTGTTAGAACAAAACCTTTTTTCCATTTTTTTAACATTTTTATTTTTAAGATACTTTAAAACCTCCAGCTGCCCTTTACATTGTTAAAATGTATGAATGACTTCAAAGAACGTTAGGAAAGGATAAACTAAAGCCAACAGAAACATTTTGCTTGAATTTACTGAGCTAGTCTCTATGATGTTTGTAATGTAATGCAACACCAAATAGCTTATATACTAGAACACATGTACAATAGTCATTCTACAACATTAAATAGCCTATATACATGTGCTCCACCAATGTATATGTGGTACACCAGTGTTTCTCAGTCTCGATCCTGGAGTACCCCTCTCAGCAAGTTTTTGTTATTTTGCTGCTACAACACACTTGAACCAACTCATCAGATAATTAACAATCGTTTCCTGAGTTTAACTGGATGTGAATACTTAATTACACTGTTAAAAACAAAGGTGCCAAGAAGGGCTCTTTTTAGGAGCAATGCTATAGCAGAAGCAGTGTTGGTTACTAAAGAAATCTTTCAGTGGGTAGAACCCCAAGAACCTTTTTAATATTAAAATCCACATAATGTAAAGGTTTATATAGGAATCAAAATTCAATACTTTTATGGTACTGACTGAATTATTTCAAAACATCAAAACATTCTGTGTCATTCAATACCGAATTTCAGTATGTGAGTAGTCAGTTTTATCATCACCGTTAGTCATAAGCATGCTTGTTCCAAAATCCAGACTGCTGATTGGCTGTCTAAATCAGTGATTCTCAAAGCATTACTCAGAGACCCCCAGACGGCCCACATATTGCTGCAACCCAACTCACAACACATAATATAAAATAAGTGCTCCTTCTTGGGTTTTCTGAGGAGCAGCTTGAGAACTACTGGTTTAAATTATATTCTGTCACCATGTTATTAATGTCAGCGCTTCTTAATTAGTCTGTAATCTTAATTAGTCTGTAATCCATTGCAGTCAGTAAATAAACCCACTTCCAATACCTCACATTCATTTCTGGTTTGTAATTCAAAAGAATAAAAAAAAGCATAGTGTAGGAATTGTTATCAAAATGAAGGTATCAGTATTGATACCAATATCTGGAAAAAAATTAATGATACTTACCCCTAATTCTATACCAATTAAAGATTTTTCCTATCTACATATGTTCAAGCCAGGAGCCATTCAGGAACCTTGATTTTTAAAAGTACACGCAAAGCAATGGCACTTTAGGACCAGGATTGAGAACCACTCATGCAGACTAAATGGAGAAATGGGCAGAATCATGAGTGGCCTTGTGGCAATAGCAGCATTAAGGCTTTGTCATATGCCTCCGGATGTACAAACGTAGGTCTTAATGACTATTAATAAAAATGTCTGGTTCCTGAGCAAGAAATGCTTTATTCAACCAGTCTACAGAAGAAGCTGAGTAACCATCGTGCCATCCACTTTATGTCACAAACTGCTCACTGACAGACATGAATAATGAATATTATATTCATATTAATGTGCTTCACGTCTTCACCCCAGCGGGAAAGGATAGCAGGAACTTCTACTGTTGAATGCAATATTTCTCTGAAATGTTTGTCCATGTTCAGATGAATGTGTTGGAAACAACTCATGTATTTTCACCTTTTAATAGCATAGTTTTTCACTGCACTTGAGTATATTTCATGCAGTAGAACAGTGATGGCACACAGTCTTAATAGCCCCTATATATAACCCCTTAAAATCGCAGGCTTATTACATACTAAAGCTTATTGTACAATAACAGGGGACTTCAGTGTAAACTGGTTGAGCTATTCTTAGGTTATAAAAGTGTGTCTGTGGACTCAGGCCTTTTAAGGGTTAATTATTAACATAAAATATCAGTTATCTGTTTGATACTACTGACTGCACAGCATTTGCACAAAACTTGGATCATATTCTCTCTGTAGAGGCTACTTTTCCCAGCCAAGTCAACCAATATGTTTCTCAAGGTGTTGGCCCAGCCATACATTTAACCCTTTTGGTGGAGCTGCAGGAGATGACAATTGTCACTTAAAGTATCCATCCATCCATCATCTAAACCGCTTATCCTTCTGGGTCGCGGTGGGGTGCTGGAGCCTATCCCAGCTGTCATTGGGCGGAAGGCAGGATATACCCTGGACGGGCCGCCAGTCCATCGCAGACTTAAAGTATGATTTCATTTATTAATTATGGTTATC